ATGAGAATTTTCATACATGTGTATATATATATATATATACATGCACGTTTATTCCTGCACAACATCCTGGGAATGGCTCGTATCGGCCTTGTTTCATTCTTAGTTTGACANTTTCACGAGCCTTTACTATTCATTCATTTATAACTTTTTAAGTTTTATTATAAATAAATTTCAACATGTGAAAAGAGATTAAAGTTCAAACTATAAAGAACTACGCAACGAAAAAATAAACAGTACTATTATGAAAACATTACAATTGAAATATTAAAGTTGAAATCAAATGAGCAGTCGGTTCAAAAATTAAATTTTATTTTCAAATTGTCACCATTAACAATATATATGTAATAATTTATATTATTATTATATAACCACACACACAACAATTACAAATTCACAAACTAAAATTACGTAGGTTTTGTCAGACTAATCAAAAATATTATTATATTGAAGTATTATTACTTACTAAAAATAGTAATATTACAATAATGAATAGTATAATAATTTTAATTAATATTAAAAATATTAACAGTAGAATAATTTTTAGGTTAATAATTTTATTTGTAAAATAATTTTAAATTAATACAATAAAAAACAATTTAATTTAGAAACAATATAAGAAGATAAATATTAATACGCAAGCAATCAACAAGAAATTGATTTTTGTAATCTATCCTTATTTTTTAAAAATATATTACTTTTGACTTATATCTGTTTTTATTTATTTAAAAAAATTATAAAAATATATGTTTACATGTGAGTTTCAAAAGTACAAAATAATATATAATTACTTCCCTAAAAATTACTTAGTTTTTTAGTTTTAATGTATAATTTAAGGTTTTACATTGTTTTCAATATAAGAATTTAAGTTATTATAAAAAATATTATTATAAGTTTTTATAAAAATAGTAGATTATATTTAAAAAAAAAGAAAGATATAAAATATTATGAACAAAAAAGTGTTTTGAGTGAGAAATAAAAAAAGAAGAAAAGAAAATTCAACCTTACCCAACTGCTTCATTTGATCGCAAATTTAGTATATCACTTGGTGGCGTTTTTATGATAGTATTGTGTACTTTTTTATTATGTGCTTCTTTTATACTTCAAATTTTAGTTTCTTCCTTCATTTTGAAATAGTGAAATTTATTTATATTAAAAATAAACAATTTATATATTTTTTATATTTTGCGGATCATTGAGAAGCGTGCTGTTCAATATATTTCCTATAAGTTCAATGGCAATAAGCGTAATAATGTGCAGAACTTTTGTATATTATAATGTTAACGTGTATTACCTTTTCAAAAAAAGGTAAAAAAAGGCGCCAAGTACACGCACAATACGTATTGGATTCTAGTTACTAATACTACAAAAAATTCTTCCTTAAAAATAAATCTGTTTTACAAAAGAAGTGATATCAAAAAGAAGCACCAAGTAAACTTTTGGTCGTTATTATATAAAAGACCTTTAAAAACTAAAAAATAATAAAATAAATTTAACAATATTAATATAATATAAAATTAATTAACTTGGATTATATTTACTACTTAAATTAAAAATCTTATTTCTAAAACAAAACTTGCCTTACAAAATAAGTGATAACAAAATCAAACAGTAACACCAAGTAAACTTTTGTACGTTATTTATTGAAAAAAACAATATATATTATATACTACAACAAATTTTTAAAAACTAAAAATTATATACTACAAAAAAGTTTTTAAAACTAAAAATATTTAATGTTAAAAAACTTGGCGCGGCTGCACCTCAAATAGTGAACTGAAATGTGTACATCAGACACATGCGTAAGTCAGACATAATAAGTACTCAATACTGTTTTCTTTAAATAAACATAAAAGTTTCTTTTTAAAAGCATTTCTTTTATATATTATTTGCACGCGCACGTAGATCATGTCTGTCTCTCGGCCTTTGGTGCAGCCGCGCCAAGTTTTTTAGCATTAAATATTTTTAGGTTTTAAAAATTTTTTGTAGTATATAATTTTTAGTTTTTAAAAATTTGTTGTAGTATATAATATATATTGTTT